CCCCCCCCCCGGTTTGGGGAACCACTGGTTCAGGAAAACTATAGTCTTAATACATGAAACCTTTTTTGAGACAGGGTGCTGGTTATTGTCTCTCAGCTCAAATTCATCCTTTTGGCCTGCTCTATGAAAATGGATCTGACCCTCTAAATATCTTTTCCTTTGCCCATTGGCAGGATGCTAAGCTTCCTCAGTAAAGGTTCTGTAGAGACACTGGCAGGGGAAAGGTTTTCCTTCCTGGTTCCAGGTTGCTCACTCACTGGGCCCTTGCAGTCTGTGTGGCTGCCCCAGGCCCAGCTTCTGAGGATGGCTTCTCCACTCCAGCACCAGGATCCTGCTGTGCACAGGACCAGCAGCACCTGGCAGCCAGCAGCTTTCCCCAGTACCTACCCACCTTGTGTGCCTCTAGTAAGATGCCTCTTTCTGTGAAGAGCTTTTCCCAGCATCCTAGCAGGTGGTTTTCCAGCCAAGAGGGTGGATTTCTAGTGAGTTCCACCAGCAAGATGTTCCGTGAACCAAGCCTGGATCTCAGCCTAGGGGCAGCGGTGGGGTGGGGGTGGGGGGATTCTTCCGTAGATGCTCTATGTTACTATCTTGGCTACCTAGTGTTGTTATATCATTCAGTTGTTCCATAGTTTATTTAACCAGCCCCTATGGCAGAAACCATTGGTTGACTGATCCAACACGCATTCCCAGGCTTTTTACTCTTGCTACTATAGAGGCTGGATCCCTAAATACTTGCTTTCCCATCCTCCCTTGTGGCCAGTTTGCTCATATGGTATGGCTCTGGATGATGAATCCAAAGCAGAAGTCTGCTAGGAGGCTTTTGGGAAAGCTCTTGCTTTTCTCACAAAGAGAACAGATACCACTCCTTTCCCCTTCCTGCCTAGAATACTGATGTGATATTTAGAGTGCAAGTGCACCTTCTTGCAACTATGAGGGAAATGCCAAGGGAACTGGAGAGGCTGATTCTGACTCTGCTCACTGAACCAATGCCAGCCACAACTTGCCTCCAGACTTGTTATGAGAGAAATGTAAGTCCCTCTTTATTTCAGCTACTGCTATTCAGACTTTCTGTTACTTGCCCCCGACACATTCTCAATATAGCCCCCCACTGATGGACATATAGGTTGCTTCCAATCTTTCAATGTTAATAACGATGATATAATGACAATCCATATACATACATCTTTCTTAAAATTTCATGTAGAATAAGTTCCTAGACATGGAATCACTATTCATTTTCAGTGTTGATACACAGCCAGATTGCCTAAGTTTAATCAACTACATTTTTGTATCTCCAGATCTATGTGCACTACACTCACCCATTCCAATTTTATAAGTGATTTTAAAATTTCCCTTTTTCTGTTTTTCTTTGCCATATTTTCTATAATGAATATTAAGAAAAGAATCACAAAAAAAATATTTTTAAAAACAGAATTCAGGAATTGAGTTCCAGACTGCCAACAGTCTCATTACTAGCCTGGATCCTAGGTCGAGGCTCAACCGCTGAGCCATGCCTGGCAGGGCAATAAAGACTTAAAAAAAAAAAGTTTATTTAGAGTCACAGAGGTAGAAGAAGTGAGTCGCAGAAGGAAGCCAGCTGGGCTGCACGGACTCAGGAAACAAGTTACAGAGGCAAAAGAAGGGCCCTAGGAGCTTAGGAGAAAGAAGGCAAAACATGCCTATGGGAAGGAGAGGGGGAAAGGTGGGTAGGTGCTTAAGAACGGAAAAGAGCCCTGCCAGTGTGGCTCAGTTGGTTGGGCGTCATCCCGTGCACCTAAAGGTTGCCGATTCGATTCCTGTTCAGGGCACATGCTGGGGTTGTGGGCGAGATCCCCAGTGGCCGGGGAGGGGAGGGTGTGCGTGCAGGAGGCAGTTGATCCATGATTGATGTGCTCTCCCATCGATGTTTCTCTTTCTCTCCCTCTCCCTTTTTCTCTCCCTCAAAATCAGTGAGAAAATCTCTAAAAAAATGAATTAAAAAAACAAAAGGAGAGCTATCAAGGGAGGGAGAGCCAGCGCAAGAGAGCACACATGTCTTAAGGGCTTTTATCTGGAGATCTCAGGGGAGAATTCAATAGAATATTCATCAGCTTTCCAGGCATGTCTCCTCAGGGTCTCATGGTCTGTACTAGGGTTGGGCGTCATTGGTGTTTGCATCTGGTCCTGATGGCAGCCGTGGCATCATCCTGCCTGGCCTTGCTGCTTTTTTGGGCCTGAAGCTGAAACATAACCGAGGCCTAGATGTCATCTCTAGTTTGACCAAAACTCTGTCTCTATGGTCAACAGACCTGAGGCTTTGCTCCTAAGATTGTTTTGGTGCAGGTCGGAACCTCATTGTCCTGAGGGCTTAAGGATTAAGGGAGCGGTGGTGCAAGGGCTGGTATGGGAGTCATATGAGGCTATTCTCCTGCCCCTTTGTTCCTCCTCTAAGGGAATCTACCACATGACTAGTGACATGCCGGGGGAGGAAAGGTCAGGGGAAGGTCTGAACCGCATCACCAGCGATATATGAAAGGTCAGAGGGGTCAAAACCACATGACCAGTGACATGCTAGGGGAGGAAAGGTCCCCCTGGGGGTGAGGTCCCACATTGTAATTGGTGACCTCCTGTACCTGGCCTATTGTTCCTACTCAGCTCAAGTCTATCTAACTGCCTACTATATCAATATCACTATGAAGATGTATAACATTGAATTTTGTTGGGAAAACCATACAGTACCAAAGAGTACAGAATGAAAACTAAGCCTCTCTCCTACCCTGGCCCAAGTTCTCCTCCCTGTTAGCAATCATGGACAGTTTCTTGTGACTTCTTCCAGACATAACCTGTGCATGTACACCGACACCATATGGGAATGTGTGTAGATAACTATAGCACTACAGTATGTCTTAATAGAAATAATCAGCCCCTGGCGTCCCTCCCCATTTTTTACTCTTCCCATTACTCTGCACTTTGATTTCTTCATTTATTGGTATTTCCTGGAGATTGCCCTGTAACTATGCACACAGACCTGCCTCATTTCCCCTATGGCTACATGATCGTCCACTATAAGTGTGCTCTGTGTCACAGTATTGTATCTAACCAGTCCCATACAGCTTGACAGCTGGGTTTCTCTATCACAAGCAGTGCTACAATGAATACTATTATACTGTTCACAGGTGGGAGTTTAACAGTTGAAGTTACATACAGGCACATATTTTTAATCACCCTTCACGAATGATTAGCTATGTTTGGGCAACTGATCCAGATGATAGTCTTAGCATCATTCCTTACCAAATATTTCCCACCACTCTTCCACTCCCCCCACCAAACTATTTTCTGGGGTCTTACCAGTTTCTTTCCACTGATTCTCAGATCTTTGGGGAGAATTGGCAGAAAGAGAGGGGTGAAGTAGTGTATGGGAGGGGCTTGCAGATTTTGCTTGGCAGTGGAAAGACCAGTAGGAGGCTGGGTGGGACTCTCCCTTAGATGACTAATAACTATGTAATAGGCAGCTAGACAGGTGTGAGTGGAGCAAGGACAATAGGCCAGGTACAGGAAGAAGGTCACCAGGGCAGAAAGCCCTGGGTGCCTAGCAAGGGGCAAAACTGGGAAAACAAGGACCTCCCCCCATCCCCAGGGTAACCTTTCCTCCCCTAGCATAGGTCATGTGGTTTGGACCCCTGACCTTTCATATCGCTGGTCATGTGGTATAGACCCCCTGACCTTTCCTCCCTCACGATAACATCTAGGTCTCACTTGTATTTCAGCTCCAGGCCCAGAAAAGCATCAAAACTGGACAAATGATGCTATGGCTACCTCAGGACCAGTTACATTGACCCCTGCCTTGGCTCCGGCCAATCAGTGGAGACCCTGAAAGGACACACATGGAAAGCTAATGAATATTCTACTGACACCCTCCCCAGAAACCTCCCCTAAGATTTCCACCTATGAGATAAATACCCTCAACACAAAGGACCTATCCTGGGCTCTCCCTCTGTGAGCACGCCAGTGCCATTCCCTTCCCCTGTGCCTTTCCCTTCCCCGTCTCCTTCCCCCACAGGCACAGTATCTCCTAAACTCCAAGGGACCCCATGAGAGAGATTTGCAACTGAGGGAGCAATGGGCTGAGGCAGCTCCTCCTGGGCTAATCCCCTGAACCTGTTTCCAAGGCTCCCTTTTTTCTGACATCCCAGTGAGCCAAAGCAGCCCAGCCGAGGCTCTCCAGTCGCTTCTGCTATGCTCTTCCTTGTTTCACTGTCCTTAGTGTGTTTTTGCTGTGGCCAATAAATTCTTGCTTGCTTTGCTACACTTTGTCTCTTGATTGAAATCTTTCCTTCAAGAAGATAAGAACCAAGGTCTCGTCTTGCCAGAGTTTCTCTATTGAGTTTTTGGCCAGCTAATCATTTGTTATGGGGGGCCCTCCTGTGCACCCCTGGCCTGTGCCCACTAGAGGCTAGTCTCCCCTCTACCCAGTTGTGACAAGGCCATATGTCTCTTGGGGGCAAAATCTCCCCTGCCTCCCTCACCTTGAGTACTCCAGACAATTCACTGGTGGTAAAATACACATTGAACATTCACTAAGTATCCAGCATCTGGGTTCTGAGGGTTTATGACTCAATCAGAGAAATTACCAAAGGAAGATGTCAACTTGCTCTCTCCTGTGGAAGACAGCAACAGCCACCTGAGGTCTTGTCCGTATTCTCCCTCTGGTAATCCATTTCTCTCTCCTCCCT